TACTTATAATTAGAGTTTCCCACATAAGAGAAGCCATGCAATATTTAAGCCGTGTGTCTGATTTATTTCACTTAACATTATGGTCTCAAGGTGCATTTCCTCACCAATGACTCACGTTTACCTTTCTTTATGGCAGAATAATACACCATTGTGTATAAATCCCAGTTTCTTTACCCACTCATGTATTGCTAGATGTTTTGGCTGCTTCAAAGATTTAGCCATTATGAGTTGTGCTGCTATAAACATGGGTAATATGATGTCTTTAACTCTTTTGGGAAGATACTTAGAAGGAAGACAGCTGGGTCAAATGGAATTCCATTTTTAGTTTTTCAAGGAATGGCCACACTGATTCCCATAGTGGTTCTACTAGTTTACATTTCTACCAACAATGTAGAAGCCCCCCCCACACAGCCTTACCACCATTTGTTAATTATTTGAATTTTTGATGATGGCCATCCTTGGGGTAAAGTGGAACTCAGTATTACTTTAATTTGCATTTCTGTAATGGCCAGCAATGATGCACATTTCTTCATGTATTTATTGGCCATCTGTATTTCTTCTCTGATGTGGATATTGCTTTCACTTGTCCATTAGGAATTGTATTCTTTAAAAAAAAAATAATAATTGTCCTAAAAGTCAAAGAATGTGGACTATAGACTGTATGAAAGCAAGTTGTAAACATGTGAAGTTGATAAGTACACTGTAGTTGCATTTTTTTTTTTTTTTGAGACAGGGTCTCACTATGTAGTTGAGACTGACCTGGAACTCACTATGTAGCCCAGACTGGTCTCGAACTCACAGCGATCCTCCTGCCTCAGCCTTCAGAGTGCTGGGATTACAGGCATGTGCCTCCATGCCCGGCTGTAGTTACATTTTTAAAAAATCTCTGCTTTTAGGAAACACTTTGGTATTTCCTGAACACATAATAAAGAAAATGTTTTTTAAATGTTAATAAATAAATCTGGGTATAATAGATGTCCCTTATTCTATTTTTATCTCTTAGAAGTTCAAAATTATTGCCAGGAAAAATCTTTAGGAAAAAAACTAACCATGTTTTGACACGCCCAGAGTTTCTAACTAAAAAATTATAATACAAGAAATATAAAACAAGAAAATTATAATACAAGAAGTATCCACCTTAAGAAATAAAATACTACTAATGAAACTGAAAAAAATCATGTGGAATGAATATGTTATTTGGGTAGGACTAACAAACCACAGGCTTAGCTATAAATTAGTTATAGATTAGGTATGAATGTAGATATAGTTCCATGTTCTTTGTATTTCTTCTACCTAGAATCTGTTAATATATATTCACAATGCTTAAAGTTTAGCATACACTTCATAGTCTCAGTGATATAAAAAAGTATAGTTACAAAATTATATTGCATTATTTATAAGTATATATATTTTCCAAACTTTCCCTAATAAACACAGATTACATGTATTACTGAAATAGACGTAATTTTAAAAACCAATCTATATAATTTTGCATGTGTCGTATGATCATGATCATGTACAATTATAGACGAAAGAATGAAAAGGACTCTGCCACCTGCCTCACAAGAGCAAAGTTCCAAGTTCGATCCCCAATACCAAAAAAAAAAATGAAAAGGAAAGTCTAAAAAGCCCACTATCTCTAGATGTGAGAACCTGGGTTTTTATTTTCCTTCTTTCAACGAATGCTTCCACATTTTCCTAATCACTACTGTAGTAGTTTTCCATTTTTAACCAATGAGAGAATTGTGGATTATTTTTTTATTTACTGTTTTTTTCCATTAAGTTTATTGGTCCATTTTAGGTATACAGTACAGTTACATTCATCATTGGGATCTTGTACCTTTATATAACATATCTTGGTTCTTATTTTTTCCCCATTTCCCTGCCCTCTCTTCATCCCCTCTACCCTACCTATTTACAAAGACTTTGTTTCCATTTTTTCCTTTTCTCATATTTTTTCTTTCCCCTTCTTACCTTTCCCCTACCCCTCCCACTTCCCCTACTCCTTTAGAACTTTTCTTCCTATTATATATACACAATATCAATTATACATTTTGATCCTTATTTATACTTTTACATTTTCACACCAGAGAAACTATTCAGGATTTACACATGTATGTCCCATTAATTTCACTTAAGAGTATGGCCTCAATGTGCAACCACTTTTTGGAGAATGACCTGTGTGCAGCCAAAAAGAATGTATATTCTGATTTTTTGAAGTGGAACACTCTGTAGACGTCTATTAAGTCTATTTGTTCAAAAGCTTGATTCAGTTCTAGTATTTCATTGCTGATTTTTTTGTCTAGATGATCTGTCTATTTGTGACAATGGGGTATTGAGGTCCCCCACTACAATTGTATTAGTGCTTATTTGGTTTTTCATGTCCCTTAATATTTGTTTTGAATAGTTGGGTACAAAAGATTATTTTTAAAATGAGATCTTTACCTCACTCTGTGTGTCAGTCAATCAGGGATTTCAGAAAACTAATTTTTCAGATTGTAGCACATTAGGAGATATTAAACATTTATTAAATATTAAATGTCTTAAAGGGGTGGTTTTCTAAACTTAGGAACACTAAGGGAAAAGACAAGCAAGAGATGTGCTAGCAACAAATCTGTAATATCACAGTCAGAATAGCATCTGGAGTCTTGAAGCTGTAACTGCACACTTCGAGAGAAGCCTGGATCAAAAGCTCCTTAGCACTGAGCCAGTGGGACGTCTCCTTCCACTCCTTGCCTCGCTAGCCCACCTTCTCCCCAACTCTTCATTCCCTTGTCCTCCCACCTGCCCATCTCTCCACACCAGGCCCTGTGAGGACCCAGGGCATTGGGCACCCTTCTGACCTTGACTTGACCTTGACGTGAAGCAGTTGTACTTCTCTCCCCTCCCCATCCATCTCTTTGCTTCCTGAGTCTCGTAAGGATGGGAGCTAAGGAAAATCACTATTGCTGCCTTATCCCACTTCCTGGCAGAAAGCGACAGGCTTCTCTTCCCAGCTTGGCCCTGGCCCCCTGCAGAAGGGCCAGCAGGGCTGTCCTCCTCCTCTCTCTGGGATGGCGTCTTTGTCATCTCTGGCAGGCGAGACAGGCCATCTGCTGATCCTGCCACCAGCTGCTGTCTTGTCTTCACTTGCCGTGTCCCCTGAGAATTCCCGGACTTTCAGGCACATGGTATCTCTCCTGCTCTTGCTCAGCCGGGGTCCCCTTATCTTCTAGGGGCTTTCACAATCTTCTCCTTTCACTTAGCATCGCCCTGGAGCCCTCCCCCAGGGACCTCGGACTATCATATGTGCCACGGCATATATGTAGAAAAAGGAATGCATCCTGGAAAGTATTTGAGAGCACTCACAAGGACATGCGGCTTCTACTGGGAAGAAAACATCCTGGGGCTCAGAGTCCCAGGGGATCATAGGTTGGATTCCTCATATGGAATCTCAAGTCCATAAATCATACCCCAGGCTGAATTTTTACTTTGCTATTGTTTCATGGAGAAGAACACAAAAAAGAGTGCATTCCTTTAAATCGACCTTTTTTTCCCACTTGGAAAGCTCTGTCCTACTTCTCCACATTGTGTGATCAGACTCAGCCATCAGGGTCCCAGAATGAATGCTCTTAGGCAAGCGAGTGCTCCCAGGAGAAACCCAGAGGAGAGTGAGGGAAACAGGAGAAGCTAGGCGAGGATGTCAGGGAAATCCAGCCTCAGCCTAAGCCCTCAGGGACCCCTGGAGAGCCTAAAGGGTACCACAGAAGCTGTTCTGCCCAGCGGGGCAGGGGATGAGGTGATAGACCACCATCTATAAACTTTGACGTGGTGCTTTTGGAGGCCAGGAGGGGGCTTCTCACACCTCCAACTTCCATCGGCCCAACAAGATAGTGCAAGCTCCCAGCAGCCAGGAGATAGGGTCTTAGCCTAGAGAAGGGTATCCTGGTGAGACAGCAGCAACATCTGTTGTGTCCTCCTTCCTTTTTCTCAATCACACACATTTTCCTTTAACAGGTCTGTCACAAGCCTGCTGTGACTTCTTTGTTTTAAATCCTTCATTACTAGGCATGAAAACAATCACTGAGTCTAGTCTTGATCAACAATACTGACCCCCCCAGATTCCTCGCTTCTGTAGATCAGACAAAGAATCATTTGGAATTTTCATCACAGAGCTTTAGAGACCAGCTAGTGTGGCTTTTTTATTTTGTAGATGAAGTCATTGAGGTACAAAGAGACAAGATTTACCTCATCAAGCAAATTGTGTAGAAGAATCAAACCCAAGGCTGCCTAAGTTTCATTCAGAGCCATTCTGCCCGGCCTTTATTTCTGCTGATGTCATTGCATTAGCACACTTTGGCTAAGATTTTCTAATTATTCATTATTAGAAATGAGTATTAAATTCAATGCTTAGGAAAAAAAAAGCTGCATGCCAGAAATAGTATTCCATCCTGTGGTTTATATCTTAGATGAGGACATGGAGTGTAGCCAAATATAGAACCTACTTAAAATCTTACAGAATTTTAAAACCAAACTTGAACCTTCTGGAGTTCATTTATTTATTCTTGGCAACATGCAACTTCCTGATTCTTGAAAAGTTGCTGGCTCATTTAGAAGGAAAACTCCTGAGACTTCTTGTGCATTGAGTAGCTCTTACAAAACAATCTTTTGAAGTATAAAGTGTAAATGACTAAGAAGCAAAAGAGAAGTTTTCCTGAAACACACATGGATGTAATCACTGAGGGAAAAGTACTCTCGGTAAATTGCAGAATTGTTTCTTGTGCCTTAAACACTAAGGAAATTGGTCTTGAGCACAGCAAATACCAAATATGGAAGAGTTTTCCCTTTGTCTTAAAGTTGTCTCCCTAACTATGTGAGTGACTTAGGTCAATGCATCTCCCAAGCATTTCTCCTGCAATCTGCTCCACCAGTAAAGGCTTTTTATCCTTTCTAATCCAAACCAATGAGAATCACCCCCTGTGGAATTCAAGAATCTTTAGGCCGAAAAGCGTGATCCTCTAGTTTTATGATTGCCATGGGCCAAATAGTCAATGTCTTTCTGTATCAAAAGGCCTAGTACTCTAATGTTCGGCTGTCAGGAAGGTGAGGTTGCCTCGGAACACAGATAAGAGATCATTTCTTTCTTTTAACACAGATCAAAACTTTTTGCTTCTGATTTGGCCTTCAGTCGTAAGGCAGGCCAGCTCATTTTGGCCATGGCCCACTACCTCAGCTTTCCCCTCATCCAAGGTCAGCTCAAGGCTCGTTAAGATTTTTTTAAGCAGTTCCTCTGTATTGTATATTAGAAAAGATGACACGGTCCCAAAATAACTGGTTTATCTGTCAAAGCAAAGAGCAAATAGAAGCAATTATCTAATGTCTAGTAGCTCGGATTTGGTTATCTAAAACCACCACCTGTATTACTCCCCTTTTGCATGATCCAGGGAGAGGATTTTGTTTGTTTTCAGTACTAGGGACGGAACCTAGGGCCTTCACACTAAGATATATCACATCCCTGGCCCTACTACTACTACTATTATTATTATTATCATCATCATCATTGTTATTATTTTGAGGCAGAGTCTCTCTAAGTTGCTCAGGCTGGGCTTAAATTTGCAATCCTCCTGCCTCAACCTCCCAGAGTTCTGGAATTACAGGTATACACCGTCATGCCTGGCTACCAGGGAGAGTCCTTTAAATTCTCCTTCCTCTCCATGATTCACAGGTATCATGCTTTGGTTTGGATAGGGTCTGTCCCACCAGGGTTCATGGCTGGAAGCTTTGTCCCTAGGTGGCATTGTCCACGTAGTGGATTAGAAGTTTGGCTTAGGTAGAACGGATTCATGCCGGTCTCACAGCGTGGGTTGGGTCTCCCAGAAGTGTGTTAGTTCTCATTTAGTTCTCATAAGAGTGGGCCCACTTCACACCTTGTCTCTTCTCCTTTCTGCCATTTCTCTTTCTGCTTCTCCAGCATGCTGATGCAGCCATAGGTACCCTTGCCAGAGGTTTCTACCTTCTATCCACCAAAATCTGAAACCAAATAAGCCCCCTATAATGTATCTATCCTCAGGAATTCTGTTAGAGCAACACAAAACAAACCAAGATAGACCATACCCTCCCGCCACACACACTATTCTATCAAGAAAAAATTTAATTCTGTTCCTAAGATTTTGAACATTCCAGATCTTCCTACTCTTTTGAAAGACGGCAGACAAAGCACAGTTGAGTAGACAGGGGTCAACTTTGGGGGTCAACTGACCCATTTAAATCTTGTCTCTGCTCCCTCTTTAACTTTGTGGTGTTGAGTAAGTTGCCTCTCATTTCTGAACCAACGCTTCCCGTCTGTACAGTAGAGGTTATGCTGCTCAGCCAGCAGGGTGCTTGTGAGGGTCAAGTTAATTTGTGCAGAGATTGTCCATTTTAAAGCCCTCTAGTGACAGCTGGAGCCGACCTCTGAGCTAGTCCCATGGGACCCTGGCTATCCTTTTTCTCCTCCTACTCCCTCAACCCCAGCCACAGGGAGGAGAGTGCAGGCTCAGGAGGGGCTGAAATGACTTCCTTAAGGTTTCGCAAAATGAAGTAGGCCCTCCTGAGGGGATCTCAAAGTTGTCACTCCTTGCTTATATCTCCAGGTTTTGAATGAAGATGGAATACTTTAAACATCAGCTCTAATCTTCTCCTAACTTATTGCTACCTTTGACTTAAAATCAGCCATTGCCTGCCCTGTGGTCTAGCTGCCTCCAGATGTGTTGACTGAATGTCCAGCTATGTGTCAAGTACCTGAAAATGTGGGTCTAGAGTTTGGGAAATGGGCAAGAGGTGGAAAGTGGGTTTGGACATCCTCTCTCTGAGATATCTTTTGACCCTCCACGATGGGCACAAACTCAGAGAAGCTAACGTAGCGTGTGTCCCTATAGAGCTACTAAATGACATGCAATATGTAATATGGCCTATTGTGCAGTCAAAGAAACTCTGAAAAAGAAAAACCATAAGGGAAGAGCTCACTTTAGAGGGTATTAAAACATATTGTAAAGCTAGTTTGCAAAAACCCTAGGACAGTGCCTGACTGAACAAGAAAAGCAGATAGACCGTAGTGTATACATAACGCTTAAATATGTGATTAGTTAATAGCTACCGATCATATTGTTTATTAGTTACTTGAAAAAAATCAGATTAGGTCCTGAGGCAATGACAGTGCTTACCAAAAGTTCCCCAACTGGAAGTAAAAGAGTTTAAGATGGTCCAGCTGCTTGTGCCCCTAAGTCATTATCTAGGTGTGTCACCAGACCTTTGCTGGGCTTGATATGCCTGAGAGTTAATGCTTTGTTGTGTTAAGGCATTGAGATTTGGGGGCCTGAGGGTTGGAGCAGCTACTGTTAATTTCCTCCAATACCACCCCTTCACATCTTGTACCACCTATCAAGATGGAAATGAATTCTAATTAGGATAAGAAACAAAATGTTGAAAACTGAAGAAATAAAAGTTTTTTACTCCCTGGGTAAGGTTTCCCTAGGCCTCAAAGCAGTAGAAGAAATTACAAACAGAAAGATCTATCATTTGCATACAAATTTGTTAAACTGACTTGGATTTTTAAAAATAAAAGTGAACAACAAATGGGAACAGTCGCTTTGCATGTGATAAAGGGTTAATATTCTCAATATTTAAAGAGCTCATAAAGATGGAGGCTGGGGAGAGAGAAAGGATTTTCTGAGGGAAAGCTTTAATCATAGCTGGCTTGTTCTGATACCTAAAATGTCTCTGAGTTCCCTGTTTCTGCCAATTGGTTTGTGTTCTGTACATGCAAACTGTATTTAACATTGGCTCAAACCCAACCTAATTAGTAAAGTCAATCTGCCGCAAAGAAAAGATCATTATAATGCTTCATGCAGCCAAATGTCCATGGTGTTTCTAGTATGTGCTATTGGACTTACTCCACATGACTGCTCCCCTCTGTTGGTGGAAGAAATTTAGAGCTGCCCATACCCCTCTTTCCAGGAGCTTGAGAGTAATGGGCCTGTCCCCAGGAGCAAGCTGGAGCAGACAAAGAAGAACTGTGAAGCGATTCTAAACACTAATCCTGCTAGAACTCGTTGGGTCATGCCGTCATTGAATTATAGTATAGGTCCCATCACAGAGTGCTAATCACTTTCTAGGCATTACCTCATTGAATCCTCACAAAAACCCTATAGCTAAGTATCATTTCCCCTGTTTTTCAAAAAAGGATACTGAAGCTCAAGTTGAAGAAATAATTCAGCCAAGGTTAAATAAGGAGCTAGTAGAGCTGAGATCTGAACCCCAAGAGCGTGTACTGAAGTAGAGTCCACATTGCCTCCTGATGAGCCAAAGGAAGGTTCAGATTGACTCTGTTTCTTGTCATTGCACAAGGAGCATGAAGGACATGGGAGGATGGAATAAAGAAAAGGTAAGGTTTGCATCTTCATTGTTGCCCCCAGGCTTGGTCTCCAGAACCTTTAAGAAATGGGAGTCAGGATATTGAGGCAGTGGCATGGCTATTGTTGGGGGCTTTTAGCCAAATCTACAATGAGAACCAGAGCAAAAAGCCAGCAGAATGACTTAAAATATCTTGAGTTGTGTGAGAAAGAAAGCTCTAATAAAGTTGTGGGCTGCAAAGAGAGAGCAGAGCAGATCTTGATTGCTGAAGAAGGAACAAGAGAATAGAAATGATGGCCTGAGGATGTCACAGGAAGCAGAAGGACACTACCCTTTGCACCCTCAAAACTGCAAAAGTGAAGGTCTTTGCTTTGAGAGGGAAGCCCCAGAGCATCATATTCAGAATGGTGGCAGCCTAGGGAAGCTGTTCCAAAATGGTGGCTTAGGGAAGTTGTTCATCCGAATTGAATTGGATTCAGACTGTTCAGCAATTCAGGCACTCAACTCCAACAGCCAAGAGAGGGGAAGACCGGCTGCTACTGCTCCAGCTGACAGTAGACCCCAATTGGCATCATTCACACAGCACTGGTTTTGTGCATGCAGAATGCAAGAGTTGTGGGGTCAGGAAGGCTTCCACCCAGGTTTCAGAAAAAGGCCTGGAAGATCAGGCAGTGCCCCTGAGAGGGCAGTTTGCGAAGCTGTGAATGTGAAGCCAAAGGTGTAGTGGAGACCCCAGAAGTATGGCAAAGGCAGGAGTGTGGATCATCTGAAAAGAGGGAACAGAGCTGGCCCCAGAGAGAAGTTCCTCAAAGAAGAGAATGGAGAACTAATTTTGAAGAACTAATGGCAGAAAGTTTTCCAAATTTGATTTAGATGATATATACACATCCAAAAAGCTCAACAAAATCCAAGCCCCCAAAAAGAAAACTATACCTAGATATATCATAATCAATTCCTTAAAACTTATGAGGTAGAGGAAACCTTTAAAGTAATAGACCTTCAGGGGCAGGGTGTGTAGCTTAATAATACTGCACCTGCCTGGCAAGTGCAGTTTGATCCTGAGTACCAGAAAAAAACAAAAAAAGTAATAGACTTTCTTATCTACAGAGGAACAGAAAGAAAAATGGCAGGACACTTCTAATTAGGAACAATGTGGAGAAACATTGTTTTAAATACCAAAAAATAAAGGGAGGATTGGGGAAATAAATAAGAACCAAGACAAATTATGTAAAGGTACAAATTTCCAAAGATGAGTGTCTTTATATTGTATACCTAAACTGTATCAATAAAATTAAATTTAAAAATTAAAAATTTAAAAAATACCAAAAGAAAAAAAAAAAAACAGTAGAAGTGTTTTTCAGAAATAAAGATGAGGTTGGAAATATAGCTCAGTGGTGGAGTACTTACCTAGCATTCCCAAAGCCCTGAATTTGATCTGCAGCATGAGAGAAAAGAAAAGAGAGATTTTTAAGTCACACAAATACAGAATTCATCATAAGCAGGCTACAAGGAAGGTTAAAATACTTTAGGTAGAAGGAAAATGATACCAAACATTAATGTGGACTGCCGGAAGTTGTGATGAGCATTGGAAATGATTACTATGTGTCTACCTGTATGATTTTTCTTATTTAACCTCTTTAAAATACAATTAAGAATGCTGGGAATTTAGCTCAGTGATGCAAGGTCCTGAGTGTAATTCCTAGTACTGGGGAAAAAAATACAATTAAGACTATTTAAAGAAAAAATAATTTACAGTGTAATTGGGAAGGGAACAAAAGTATACTGAAATGTTCCTATACTGTACATGAAATGGTATGACAGAGGGGCCAGGGATTTAGCTCAGTTGTTCCAGCACCTGCCTTGTAAGCATAAGGACCTGAGTTCGATCCCCAGTACCAAAAAAGGAAAAAAAAAAAAAGAATTTTACCAGAAAAATGGTGTGGCATCACTTGAAGGTAGAAGGTGACTATTTAAAATGTATGCCATAACCCCAAAGCAGCCACTAAAAGCAAGTATAACTGATAATTCTTCAAATGACATAAAAGAAAAATGCACAATTAATTCACAGAAAAGCAGAAAGAGAATACAAAAACAAATACCAAGATGTTAGATTTAAACTTGACCATATTAAAAAAAAATCACAGTAAATGTGCATGGTCTAACCTTACCAGAAAAGATAGCAATTGTCAGACTGACTAAATAAAGCAAACTACGACTATAGGCAGCCAACAAGAAACACACTTCTTAGGGCCAGGGATTTAGCTCAGTGGTTCTGCCATCTGCCATGCAAGGACCCAGGTTCAGTCTCCAGTACCAAAAACAAACAAACAAACAAAAAAGAAACACACTCCTCTGTATTTTTGAGACAGGGTCTCACTATGTAATTCAAAGTGTCCTTGAACTCCCTAGTAGCCCAAGCTAGCCTTGCAATATCCTAATGCTCTTGCCTCAGCCTCCCAAGTGCTGGGATTACAGGCATGTGCGACCATGCCCAGCTCTTAAGAAACATACTTTAAATATAAAAACACATATAGGTTAAAAGCAAAGGGATGGAGTGATGGTAAATTTCAGCAGTCAGCTCAATTAGGTTAAATGCTGCTCAGATAAGGTGAAGAATCTGTGTGTGTCCAAAGGGCTTTCTGGAAGAGACTCGCATTTGAATCAGTTGGCTAAGAAAGGTAAAATTCGCCCTCCTCAAGGGTGAGATCCTCCCATGAGCTGAGGCCTGAACAGAATGAAAAAGCTGAGAAAAGGTGAATTTATTTCCACCTCTCTTCTGGGACCAGGACACCCTTCATCTCCCATGCCAAATGCTCTGGCATTGGGATTCTGGGACTTCTTGCACCAATAGCATCCTCCCTTACTACTCCAGCTTGTAAGCCTTTGGCCTCTGGCTGAGAGTTAGACACCAGCTCCCTTCGATTTCGATTTCAGTTTTCCTGGTTCCCCAGCAGGTAGATGGCCACTCATGGGACACAGGGGCATGCACTATGTAGTGGTATTTCAGTCAACAATAGTCCACAGCTAGGACAGTAGTCCATAAGACTATAATGGAGCTATAAATTTCTTATTGCTTCTCAGCACGCTTAACATCATAGTGCAAAATATTGTTCACAAATTTGTAGTAATGCTGGTATCAACAATTCCACACCCTCCTACAAAAGTACAACATGTACAATTAAGTGTGTTATACAATACTTGATGGTGATAAACTACTAAGCTACTGGTTTATACATTTGCCATGCTACACCTTTAATTGTTACTTTAGAGTGTAATTCTACTTATAAAAACAGTTTGCTATAAAACAATATGCGTGTTACATTAGCATCAGCCTCCTACATCTTGTGTTTACTGCCTCTTGTGATTGCTTCAAGAAGCCACATCAAGTGATCTGCCTTTCCTTCCAGGTCTAAATACACGTGGATGTTCACAGGATGACAAAATCACCTAGCAATACAGTTGTCAGATCACACAGCCTGAAATGAAGGAGCTGGCTAAGCCGTGGCCGCTCGTAGGGTGCCTGGGCCAGTGCAACATAACTTTAATATGTGTCCTGTTACCACATGGCCGCTCCTGTGTCCCTATTGTCCTTTTCTATTTTTTATAGAGACACTCTCATTGGCTCACATTTTAATCTTTAACATCTGCAAAGACCCTATTTCCAAATACAGTAAGCTCACATTCTATAGACATAAATTTGGAGGGACACTGTTCAACCCACTACACACGCTAACACTGACCAAAATAAACCTGGAATTAGTACTAGATGAACTGGATTTCAGAGCAACATGTTATTCACCCCTAGCAGTTTCCTAGAGGTAAATGACATTATCTCATGTAGATAACAGGATCAACTAATCAAGAGACCTAAACATTCTAAATGTCAACACAAGTAACCAAACTTCAGAGTACACAAACACAGACACACACGCTGCTAAAACTGCAAGTAGAAAGATAATCTGTAGTACCTAAAAACTCTGAAAATCACTCTACCAGCTCGGCCCAACTGGTGTTTATAGAACATGGCACTACTTATGTTTCTCTTGGGTACACATGGGACATTTACCAAGAAAGACCATGCTCTGGTTCCTAAAATGAGAAGACTCTCAATAACTTTGAAAGGAAACACTTCATGTAAAGTATGTTCAATGGCTACAATGGAATCAAATAAGACAGCAATCACATACCTGTAGAAAATCTCCAAAATATTTTAATTGATTTGGTTGTTTTTTTGTTTTGTTTTGTTTTTTTGTACCAGGGATCAAACTCAGGACCTTGTGCTTGCAAGGCAGGCAGTAGAATCCCTAAGCTATATCCCAGGCTTTTTTTTTTAATTGCATTTTTCCCCAAAATATTTTAGAGCTAATATAATTCTAAATAGCCCAAAGGCCAAAGAAGAAATCAAAATATCTTGATCTTATGTATTATGTATTTAATTATGTCTTTTATACTATCCCATAAATATGTACAATTTTAAAAAATAATAAACGATATTAGTACAGCCTCCCAAAAAGAAAAGATTTGGAAGTGAAGAAAATAAAAACACAGCATATCAAAATTTGTTAGATGCAATTAAACCAACCAATAGTTAGAGGGACATTTATAGCCCTACATGCCCATACTAGAAATAAGGATCAAAATAACCCAAGTCTCCACTTTAAGAAACTAATTAAAAAATAGAAACCAAAGAAAATAGAAATCAATTTTAAAAATCAATGAAGTCAAAAGCTCAATATTTATGAAAAGATCAATAATATTGACAAGCCTCTATACAGACTAATGGAAGAAAAAATAGAAGACATTAATTGCCAATGTCAGGAAATGAGAGGTTATTAAAAGGATAAGCAAACATTAATCTAGGTAGCCCAATACCTGCTTAAAGATATTTGCATTGTATGTAAAAATATTCCACACACAGGAAACATTCTAGACTGAGGTAATTTACTGGTGAATTTTATCAAATCTTAAAAAAGAAAAAATACCAAATATATACAAGCATTTCCAAGATATTAAAGAAGAGGAAATACCTCCCAACTCATTCAGTGAGAAAGGCATTACTATTCCGATCAAAATCAGACAGACATTAGAAGCACAGCATGGTGGCACATGCCTGTCATCCCAGCACTCAGGAGGCTGAGGTAGGAGTTCGAGACCAGCCTGGGCTACATAGTGAGTTCCAGAGCAATCTGAACTACATAGTGAGACCCTGTCTAAAAAACAAACAAACAAACAAACAAAAAATCAGGCAGAAGAACAGCAAACTACCAACATCAACTGGAAAAATTAAATTATAGAAAATAGAATCTAGCAACGTATCAAAGGGATAATTGCTATGATCTAAAGGTTAGTATCCCTCCAGAATTCAGATTGTGATATCCTAACCCCCATGATGATAACTACAAGGTAGGGTGTTTGGGAAGTGATCAGGTTGTGAGGGTGGATGGAGCCTTGGCCTCTTCCACCATGGATGAGCACAGGATAGCAGGAAGACAATGTCCATGAATCGGGATGCAAGCCCTGGACAGATACTGACTGTTGGTGCCTTGATCATGGACTTCCCATCCTCCAGAACAGTGAGAGAGTTCTCTTATTTATAAGCCACCTAATTTACAGCATTTTGTTATAGTACCCTGCCACAGCCCGCCTACCTGGCTGAAGGGTTCAAGGAGTGAAAATGGTGAGAGATTAAGAAACTTAAAGAATAAGATAAAGTAGACAAAGGCAAGAGTAAAGTTTACACAGCTGAGGCCAGGTGGAAATTCTTTGTCCTGATGAAACAAAAAGCTTGGCTTGCGTCCTCAGCACCTTTACTTATAATGTAGATAAGGAAACTGAGAAAGGATGCCTGATCCAACAGGGAGAATAGCTAGGGTCTGCAGGAGATAAAGCTTGATGTTTCTCTGATGAATGGGTGGGAAGGAAGCCCTGCTCCATCATGCCCTCCAAGGGAGGAGACCAGTTAGGCCTGGCCATAGTGATCACTCTCGGCAGTACCCCAAACAGAGTAAGACAATAAATAATATATCACAGTCCAGTGATGTTTATTCTAGTAATATAATATTGGTTGAATGTTACATATGACCATCTCTGAAGAGATTATTTGGCAAAATCCAACATCCATTTTTGATTTAAAAAAAAAACCTTCTAAGGGCTGGGGATTTGGCTCAGTGGTTCTGCTGCCTGCCTCACAAGCAAAAGGGCCCGAGTTTGATCCCTGGTACCAAAAAACAGAAATGAAAACTGGGAATAAAAGTCCTTCAACCCTGGGGCCAGGGATTTAGCTCATTGGTTCTGCCACCTGCCTTGCAAGTACATCCTTGCAAGTTCTATCCCTGGTACAAAAAAAAAGGGTCCCTCAACCCTAAAAAGGACATCAACAAAAACCTACAGATAATATCATACTTACTGATGAAAAACTGAATACTTTCCTTTTAA